ATGACTGCAAACGTCGTCTGGGGGTCTTCTTCAAAAGAGGGCCTTGTTAGGGGTCAAAGGCCCAGTTAGGCACAGACAGATGCTACGCTCTCAAACTCAAAAAGCACTCGAACCAGAGAGCCTTGGTGCTGGGATACATCGAGGAGGGCGAGCCCCTGGCCATCGGGCTCCCGAACCGGAATGCCTCCATCTACATGAGCTCGCACTTCAGGCTGGACGACTTCCCCGCATCCAGCGAGTCCCTGAGCGACGAGCCACTGCCCCACACCCACCTGAACCCCGCGGAGGCCTTCGAGGACGCCCGCGAGGAGGACGGCTACCGGGGCACCCCGTTCCCGCGCCGGGACTTTCTGCGCCCAAGGCCCTTCGACGCCGATTCCGACAGTGAATTGGGAGCGGACCCCGGCCAAGCGCTGAGGCAGGACGGGCTGGCACTGCCCGACGCCCCGAGCCTGGGAGACCGCGTGCTGGGCGGGCTCCAGAGGGCCGAGGCCGCGGCGGGCGCGGCGGCGGGCGTGGTGGGCTCTGTAGCCTCCATCGCGGCCCACTCCGGGGACCTCTACCACCACGGGCTGCGGGGCCGGCAGTGGCTGGACCGCACGCTGCGCATCCCCAGGACGCCGGAGGGCCTGGCGCCCCCACCGGACGAGGTGGCGCCGCCACAAATCAAGCGAAGTGGAGCCGCTGCTGGAGCGGGCGGGCCAGCGGCCGCGGAGGTGGAGCGCCAGGAGGTGCAGGACATCGAGGCCTTCACGCAGTCAGGTAGGTCCCCTGCGTTCCGCCCGTCAGCGTCAAGTAGTCATCGGTGGGCCTGGCCCGCACCGTGGGCGCCCTCAGCTCCGTGGAGAGCTCCACGCTGCCGGAAGTCACGGTGCCCTGCACGTCCAACGCCCCGTTCACCACTCCGCCCGAGCCGCCGGTGATGGTCAGCTGGGTGTCCTGGGCCCGCGTGCTGATGGCGTTGGTCACGAGCCCCGTGGCCGTGCCCGTGGCGTCGTCGATGTACAGCTCCGTGTCCACCCGCAGCCTCGGGGCCACGCTGTGCACCTCGGCGGAGGCGAAGGTGCAGAGGCTCTGGTCCGCCTGGTCGGTGACGCGCACCGAGACGGTGCCCGCCTTAGGTTCAAAAACTGGTCGGTGGGCAGCAGGGGCTCCACGGTGCCCGCCTGGATGCTGCCAGCCGTGACGATGCCGAGGCCGCTGTCCGCGAAGATGCGGCCCGCGGTCAGCATGTTGATGCCCGCCTTCAGGCTGAAGAGGCTCGAGGACAGGTCCGCCAGGGCGGCCCCGCTGGAGGCCTCGAACTCGAGGCCCAGGCTGCCGCCCCGCAGCGTCAAGAAGTCGGCGCCGTTGGCCCTGACGTCGTTCACAAGCAGCGGGTCGGCCGGCGCGGCCCCCGCCAGGGCGTACCTCGCGTCCGACTCGGCCTTGGAATACGCGTCGCATGTGAGCTGCACCGTGGCGGAGTTGCCGAGGATGAGGTTCGCCCCGAGGGGCGCCTGGGGCAGCAGCGCGCGGATCATCCTCGGCGTGAAGTTATCGGCGTTGGAGAAGTACCTTTCCGTCCGACTCGCTCTTGGAATATGCGTCGCAGGTCAGCTGCACCGTGGCCGAGTTGCCGAGGATCAGGTTCGCGCCCAGGGGCGCCTGGGGCAGCAGCGCCCGGATCATTCGCGGCGTGAAATTGTCCAGCACCATGGGGATGATGCCTCCGCCCCCCGCGTTGCCGTTGACGGGGTGGTACCTCGCGTCGCCCTGCGCCTCGGTCAGGAGCCCCGAGAAGCCGATCTGGCTGGCTATCTCCGCCGAGGTCTCGCCCTGGTCCCAGTAGTTGGTGAGCTCCGAGGCGATGGAGCTGTCGATGTCAGCTTGCGTGGCGTACTGGGACACATTCAGCGCGTCCACGGCGTTGGAGATCCGCGCGTTCACCTCGGCCTGGGTGTACGTCTGGCTCTGGTCGTAGGCCTGGCACTCGATCTGCAGCGTGTTGCCCGAGTTCTGGAGCGTGGCCACCAGGGGCCCGGCGAAGTGCAGGTTCCGGAGCCTGCCCGGTCAGCAGCTCCCACGTCGCGTTGCCGCCCCAGGCGGGCGCGTTGGAAACGGCCGTGCTCGCGATGAGCGCGTCCACCTGCGCGGAGTCGTAGTAGGACGCGAGCGCGATGGCGATCTCGATCAGGATGGGCGCCTGGAGCCCTGTCCAAGGCACGTAGGCGCTCAGGTCGATGCCGCCCACGGCGGAAGCGATGGCCGCGTCCGTCTCCGCGCTGGTGTAATAGGCCGCCAGCGCGGCCGCGATGGCCCCGTTGGTCTCGGCGCTGGTGTAGTAGCCGCCCAGCGTGGCCAGCACCCAGGACTCGCTGGCCTTAGGCGCCAGCAGCGCGTCCGCCTCGGCCTTGGAGTAAGCGTCGCAGGCGAGGCTCAGCGTGAAGTTCTCGTTCTCCAGGGAGACGCTCAGGGGCGCGCTGAAGTGCCAGTTGCGAATGGTGTTGGTGCCCACCAGCAGGTCCCAGGTGGTCTGTCCGGGCCACGCCTGCGCGTTGCTGAGGTTCGTGCCGCCGCCCGTCGTGAGCGCGGCCAGCGCCGCGTTGATGGCGTCGATGGCCGACTGCAGACTCGTCTCCGAGACCGAGAGCTGCGCGAAGGTCGCGAAGGGGCCTGCGCCCTGCAGGGCCAGTATCTCGGCCTCGTGCCCGTCCAGGCGCGCGTCCCTGGCCGCGAGCAGGGCGCCGAGGCCCGCCGTGTCGGTGTAGGGCGCGAGCGCGCCGGCCACGTCGGCCGCCGTCTGGTAGCCCGCGGCCTGCAGCAGCGCGAGCGCCGCCTCCGCGGCGTCCAGGCGCCCGTCCCTCACGGCCAGGGCCGCGTCCAGCGCCGCCTGCTGCACATACGGCAGCAGCGCCGTCGCGATGAGCTGCGAGGCGTCCGCGGGCGTGGTCTTCAGGGCCAGCGCGGCGTTGAGGCCGCCGGTGTCGGTGTAGGGCAGCAGGGCGGTCGCGATGGCCTGGGAGACGTCGGCGGCCGTCTGCCGCGCCGCCACGTCCAGGGCCAGCTGGTCCTGCGTGCTCTTGAGCCCGTAGGTTGCGGCCACCGTGGCCAGCGTCGCGTTGTTGGCGCTGGTCACGGCCGAGTTCATGGCGGCCGTCGTGGGGTAGTTCGCCAATTTGAGGTCCACGGAAGCCGGCGTGGACTTGCCATTGACCTCCACCTGGAGGGCGTCCAGCGCCGACTGGTTGGCCTTGCCCGCGAGCCCGGTGGTCAGGCTGGCGCTCAGGGAGGTGATGGACGAGCCGTTGGCCGCGATGGAGCCCTGGGCCGCGGCCAGGTCCGCGGCCAGGGCGTAAGGCGTTAGGTCGGGCGGCGGTGGCAGCGCGGCGACCTGGGCCTGCAGGGCGGCCACAGCGGCCGCGTTGGTGGCCACGCCGGCGGTGTTGGTGCCGATGCTCGCGGTGTTCCCGGTCGTGGTTTCCAGGGGCGTGTACTGCGTCAGCACGGTGGCCAGCTGCCCGGCGGTGATGCCGGAGGTCTCCGTTGTTTGGCCGTCATTAAGGATATTTCCTGTGATGGTGCTTTCGAAGAGGCTCATGCTTTTACACCTCAGTCGAGGACGCTCACGCCGGCGCCCGAAAGCGTGACAATCTGGTACGAAATGAGGTGGATGTAGACTTGCTGGGCGCGGTCCGCCTGCAAGTTCTTGAAGGTGAAGCGTGCGAGGTCGCCGGAGCGCGTCGAGATGCCCGAGAGCGGGTGCTTGGGCACGCGCTCGACCGGGAACGCGGCGATGAACTGCGTATCCTCGAACTCGAGTCGGTTCAGGCGCATGTTGCGGATCTTGGAGTCGTAGGCCCCCGCCATGATCTCCAAGAAGTGATGATGCTCGGCCATGCTGGCCATAGGGTATCTTGGATAAGTCAACGCCCCCAGCTGCATCTGGCTCTCCAGCTGCCCGTTGACCGCTGGGTATTCCAGGTTCATCACCTCGCCCAAGGCGTCGTCGGCGTCCTTGAAGGTCACGAAAGCGCCCATGAGCTTGGTGTAGGCCCTCGCGACGGTGACGTTGTGACTGGTGGAGCCCGCGGGGATGTTGGAGACCTGCGTGTGCATCGTAGGGTACGAAAAAACGAGGCTGCGGCCCGAAAGCAACACTTTGTTGAACGATTCCACCAGAGCGCTGTCCAGCGTCACCTGCGAGGCCAGCACGCGCACGTTCTCGATGCTGTAGCTCGTGGAGCCGTTGCCCCCCGGCCAGAGTGCGTCCGCGGCCTCCGCGAATTCGATCTCCAGCACCAGGTTCAGCTGCGGGGGCAGCATCTTCCCGGATTGGAAGAGGCCGATGAGGGTCGGGGGCATGAGCACGTCCTTGAAGTTCCCGTCCAGGATGGCGGGCGGGTTGCCCAGGTTGGTCGGGTAGAAGCCCTCGTAGGCCCGGCCGTTGTACCATTCCTGAGGTTTCAGCAGGCTGTAGAGCCAGCAGCTGCGGCCGTAGTCGGTGATGTCATCGGTGCGCTGCCCGTTGCTGTACAGCTGCACGCGCTTGATGAAGCAGCTGCCCTCGAAGGAGCCGGGGAAAACCTGCCCGCCCTGTCCGTCGGTGTTCCGCACCCGGAAGGCGATTTTCACGCTCTCAGGGTCGATGAAGTCCATTCCGCTGGTCAGCGGGATCCTGGCCACGCGGCTGGTCGTGGGCGTGAAGGTGCTCAAGGAGCTCGGGAAGAACTGCACGGACCTTCTGCTCTGCACATAGTTTACGTTGCTCGTCGCGAGCTTGTAATCCAGGCTCTGCATGAGCTCATCCTGGACGGCTTGGGTGACGTTGTCCATCGCTCCTTTCGCGCGTCTCGCTTTGTACTATAGCGTTCACGCCAGTTCGAGGTCGCTCCTGAGCTGGTCGAACGAGGGCTCCGGCAGCGAGGCGCGGCTGGAGCGGCGGCTCTGCCTGCCGGCGGCGGAGCTGTCGGAGCCGCTCGAGCGGCCCTGCGGCCTCGGCATGCTGGACGCGCCGGGGTTCAGGCCGAAGGGCAGCGCGGGCTGCCGGCCCTCGGCTCCGCTTCCGAGTCCGCGTCCATCCTGAAGACCTGCGGCCGCGGCCGCTGCTCCCGGAGCGAGAAGTGCTGCTGCGCGCCCGCCTCCTGCATGCCGTTCAGCGTCTGCACGTCCACGGCGGAGCTGGGCCTCGACTGGTCGCTGTCCGTGCCTCCGCCGCTCTCGCCCCAGCCCAGGAAGTGTTCGGCCGCCAGCATGCCCCCGTGCAGCGCCCACGCGGTGCCCACCAGGGCCGCCCCCGCGCCCGCCACGGCCAGGCCGCCCGCCGCCGCGCCCACCGTGGCGGCCACGGGCAGCGCCGCCTCCCCCGACGCGGCCAGCCCGGAGCCGATGGCCGCGAGCGCGCCTCCCCCCGTGGCCTCCGCGGCCGCCGCCGCCTCGGCGCCCGAGGCCGCGGCCTCCGCCGCGGAAGCGAAGCCTTCGGCCTCCGCCTCGGCCATCTGGCCACTCGGTGCTTTACACCGCCAGCGCCATCCGCGCAGACAACGGCATCGTGAGCGCCCCCGCGTACTTGCAACTGATCGGCGGCAGCACGGGCGTGCAGGCGCAGGGGGACCTCCAAGTGGTGGCCACCGCGAACAGCGGCAACGTCACGGCCGAGGCCGTGAACCTGGCGCCCGCGGGCAACGCGCGGCTGCGCGTGGCCTGCGGCTCCGGCGAGGGCCTGCTGACGGCCTCCTCCGCGGGCGGCGTGGAGCTCTTCGCGCCGAACCAGGCCATCTTCCTGCGCACCTCCTCGGCGGGGCAGGGCCGAGGGCCCCAACGACCGGCTGCAGGCAGACCTGGTTGATTTCTCGCAGAACACACGAGGGCAGAACAAGTACGGGCTTGTCGTCACGGACGTGTTTACAAGAGAGGTGGCCACCAAGGCGCTGCCCGACAAGCGGGCGGAAACGGTGACGCAAGCAGCCGCGGAGATCATCCCAGACCTCGTGCAGCAGGAGGGCAACGCACGTTCTCTCTCTTTGCAAACTCCTCAAATTGGAGCCTCTTTACTTTACTAGCACCTTTTGGCAAATTTGTCTTGCGCATTGTGCAGTACGGATAGCTTCGGCGTAAGGTATCTGTGTCGCAAGATCGAATTAGCAACATCGATGGAAGCGCATTTCAGTGTCTTGCCGACTTTATGTTGGGTCATCTCACTGAGTATGATGCTCTCTTTGCCAGAACACCATCAACACATTTGTTGGAGTATCTTAGAGATGGATGCATCGTGTCTACACAAACTATGCAAGAATTGCGCCAAGTGCAGGGCTCAGAGCTCCAATCTATCTTACTCGTCAACCCTAGTAAGAATTTCCTTCATAATCTAAGGAAGGGTCTTACACAACAGACGAGTATAACGATCGTGAGTAATTTGCACAGCTCACTTTCCATCTCGGACATCCCATGTGTACTCTTCAGGAGTTATGATGAAGACTTCCTTCGTCAAATCCACAGCTTGACGGTTATTGGTGCCATTGAAGTGCAGGGCAAACGGGAATTTGTATACTTGGTCACTTACATTCCCAGCAGCTACCCTGTCCATCACACTTGCTACTACATTGCCATAACGCCTTCTATGAAGCAAGAAGCCGCCAATACTGAAGTCATCATCGCTGGCACTGTTGGAATATTTGACGAGGAAGTTAAACACCTCAGTCGAGACTTTGGATTAGCTCACATTAGGAAGCCGCAGCAGCCCATCGTTGCGTTAACTGATCAGGAGAATCGATGTGTTGTTTGCCTCAGAGCGCCTAAGATCAGCGTTAGTCAACTTCAAGCGCTTATGCTGAAGGTTGAAGAGATGTATGATAAGGTGCTCAAACAAACTGAAGGCAAATCACAAATTGAGCTCCAGGTCTGGTATCGCTTTGCGCCTCTTGAAGGGATGCCGGGCAATAGTGTCAACTTCGTTGACCTCCCGTATACTATCAACTCTGCCCGAACTAAGGATGAAGCCTTTCAAGTGCATTGCATTCTCAATCAGCACAGGCTTATGAATGCGTTCCACACTGCCCCGGGAAAGTATCTGAGAATCTTTGCGGACCCCTATCAGCTTCAGAAGGCTATCCTGGGTCTTCGGCAAAAGCAGCTTACCATCCCTGACAGCCTCGCGTTGCATGCCGCAAGGTTTCACATTTGCAATGTGAAGAACTCACAGGAAATCTTTGCTTGGAAGGTGACTCAACCTTTCAACTCTACAGAGGTCTCTCTACAGATCACCTTTCACAATTGCACCGGGGACATGCAAGACATTATTCAGGATCTTGAGTACATCAAAATTCCGGTGCAGTACAGAGGAATCGTACATGTATTAGCTGGCACTGATGTTGTCATACCTGCTGTCCATGTAACTGCTACTGTCGCCGCTGCCGATGCGCTCACCCAATGTCAATATTTCGACCTTCCTTGTGGAAGAACTGAAGTGCAATTGCTGCAAGAGGTTGTTGATGCCCCAAGATGGAGCAATAAGCCCATTAATCACATTTCCGAGAACCCTAGAGAACATTTTTTGAATTGCCACTCTGGGAGCGATAAGATTGGGCAAGGAAGATTGATCCATGTAAGAGCAAGGGATGAGTATCACCCCTTATCCAAGCAACGAATTGCTAGTACAATTTGGCACAAGGATGACCTTGAAACACATTTCCTGATCATCGACAGACAGGCGCCTTATGTTGTTATGACTGGTAAATGTGAGGATGTTCCGGAACTAGTGAAGCTGCAGAGTGTCCAGACATTTCTCAGCCAAAATGAAGCCTTTCAAGGTTGGAGAGTGCCAGAAAACCTTCCTAAGGCTTCCCAAGAGGATGAAGACTTTACTGCTGAAATGGGATCTATCCAGTACTTGCTTGTCCGCATTACTGGTAAGACTGAACTAGAGATCCCGCTAGTTCTCAAGAATGGTCAGCATCTCGCTTGTCATCCGGGATCTTCTGCGAGTAACAATGTTCTCATCTCCCTACACCAGGGCGCGCTTCTATTCATGCCACGATGTCACTCATGTGATATCATCAAGTTGATAGGGATTAATACTAGCGTCATCTATGCTTTTAACATCCGCACTGATGATAGACTTAAGGCTACCGCAGCCAATAAGCCGAACAAAGCCAGATGTGCCAATCATCAGGATGAGAAGTCAAGCAAGGTTGCCATGGAGCAATCGGATACTGCCCAGTGCCCGACTTTGCTTCATGGAAAGCCTCCTGCTGTTAAAGGTGATGATGCGGCTGCCAACATGTTACCGGAAAATCCTGCCTCAGCACAGTTGAGTCAAGAAGGTGGGATTGGTAAAAGAAATATTGAGAGTAGCAAGGAAAAAGTTGAGATTGCTAGAAGACGTAATACTGTTTTAAGGTTTCAGGCGGAAGTCCCGGCCAACGTTCAAGAAGAAGTGCAAAGGCGCATTGCTGGCCTTTATTGCCCTGTTGCTGCTGCCTATCGAGTCATCTCGTGTGCTCAATGGAGCAAAGAGCAATGCCAGCATTACGCCCCCTTTCCTAAACAAGCAGCTCTTGTCCTTGCTGCGGTTGGATATAATATTCGTGAGGCCGCTCGAGCAAAGCTTGCACACATACTTGGTCTGACCTATCTTCAATTGGCAAGTGCTACACCATTGGAGCTTCAGAGCTTTACTGATGTGTATAGTAAGGCCATTTGGGCTATTCCGGCCAAGGAGCAATACACCATGCTTGTCCAGATCCATTGCAAGTGCTCCATGTGCCAGCAGCCGCAGCCCATTCTTGCTCTACCGTTGCATTCTGAACAGGACTCCTCTGATCAGATCAGTATCCTCGCTGATCTAGGTCAACTTGCTGACCTTGCGATTGCGCCCTCGCAATGACACGTGCAAACTTGTCATTCAAAGACTTCCGTCTTTCTTCTGCCTTCTCACACAGAAGATTCAGAAAAGCTCTCTTGCGCAAGTCTGCAAAAGCGAGGCTGATATTCAAAGCTTTCTTGGCAGTACGGTATCAGTCATGCAGCAGGCATATATTGTCGTTGCACTCGTTCTGCATGATCCTAGTGCTAAGCACTACTTAGTGCTACACCATGCCAAAGAACAAGCAGGAGACTCAATTCTTCTTTATGACTCAATCTATGGAGTCCGTAAAGAAAATTTGTGGGCATTATTGACTAAGGCTGAGCACTACATCGAAGCCATCTTCATCAGAAGTGTTTGTGTCAATCAGCTCTACCCCGCCACTGCTCTCATTAACTCCTTTAATGAGATTATCCGGCATCATGCTGATCCCAGTGAAAACGCAGAACAGCATATCAGTAGTGAAGCACACACTATTGAGCAAGCTAAAATAACGAAGGTTGCTAGTTGGGGCAGCCCTGTCCCTTCTGCAACCTATATGACCATCACCTCAGAGGATGATTTTGGCTTGCCTAGTCCGCCCTGTGCCCATCTTCTGCCACAAGCACAGGAATGCCAAAGCGGTACTGAATTTACTCTCGCCCAAAAGGGCAAATTCGATGAGGAGTCAGAACGCCAAGCCAGTGTCAGTCTCCAACCCGACCCTAGTACTGCTTTGGCAACACAACTTGATAATGCATCTCTTCCTGAAGTGCACTCCATTGCTACTGATTCCGATGAGGAACAGAGACCGCAACAACATGAAGTTCAAACTGCGCTGAACTCTGAGAAGAATGACTCTGATAGGGGCAGCCAGCCCCTTAAAGCCAAGTCTGACTTGAGCTCTAATTCTCAGATGCGAAGAGTCAAGAAAAGCCTCGATAAGCTTAACAATGCCAAGCCTGTCTCCAAGAGAAAAGACGGTAAAATTGGAAGCAGGAATAATCAAAGTAATGCTGTCTCGTCGGAAGACTGCATACAGGTCGCACTTGGTGTTGAACGTTACATCATCTTATCGCTTTTTGATGGATGCGGAATATCACGTGCTGTCACCGTTGAATGCCTCAAGCAACAACCAGTTGCGGCTGTGAGTGCAGAAAGTGACAGCGTCCTTCGCGCCCTCATATGCCACAAGTATGACTATGACAAAAGCCAAAGGTGGGCTCTTGACTCGCACCGTGTGCCATCGATCGCAATCGATGACGTTTGGACCCTGCTTAAAGAGGATTACCGATTGCTGCGTGAATGTTTGTCTTTCCTGGGAAGGATTCATCCACAAAAAACAGCCATCATCATTCCCGCCGGTTCCCCCTGCCAAGATCTCACGGTTGCAGGGTCCAGTTCAGGTGGATTAGGACTTCTGGGAGACCGCTCGCAACACATGCTTGTCTTATACGCAATTTTGCTTGCATTCCAGAGCATTGAACCCAGTATCCTTCAGTGCGTGCACATCTTCCTTGAAAATGCTGGGTCTATGAAGCCCATACACCAGGACTTCATTCAGCAGATCTTCGGAATACGTGATTGTTGCTGCCATCACATTGCTGGAGCTACATTCGGCCATGTTGAAAGGAAAAGGAAATTCTTCACTAGATA